GAGGAGAGGGATGGGAGGGTGGTACGTATCTTACAGAGCCTTTTTGGGTCCCCATGAGAGTTTGCTTTTCCTCTCGGAGGGTCTGGGAGGGTTCTGAGGATCGCTTGGGTGCTCTGGGCACCCTCTTATGACCCTATCGGAATAACCTCGGGATGAGGGTGGCAGTGASGGCAACTGAGGAGTCCAGGTGGGAGGTGACGGGCTCAGAGCAGGGTGGGAGCACAGGGTGGGCGGAGACACTAAAAGAGGAGGGTCTGGGGCAACGCACAGCCCCCACCCTTCATGCTTACTCCACCCCTCTGCAGGCTCCTGATGGCCTCATCTTCCCAGACCGGGCCACATTATATGTGACAGCCATCGAGGACCGACAGTACAAAGACTACAAGATCCACTGTGAGCTCGGGGCCAAGGAGCTGGTGGGGTGGGTCGGGTGAGGCCTAGGGCCTGGGCTTCCGCGTGCTCACCCTTTTTCCCCACCTGCCTCCCCAGGGTGGGAGAACGTGTACGGCTTTGACATGTCCTGCATAAAAGATGTGGCCATCAAGGAGCCCCTAGTGGATGTGGTGGACCCTAAGCAGCTGGTCACTAATGCCTGCCTCATAAAGGTAGGGGGGTGTCTCTCAGTGTTAAAACCAAAGAAGGGGCCATCACCTGGCCATCAGCCTGGGATCTCTGAGCCTGTCTGACCTGTCCACCAAGGTGGTGCTAGAGGCTCAGAGAAGCCACTTCATCTGTTAAAAATTTTTGAGCCCTGCTATGTGAGCCAGGCAGATGCCGGGGGCCTCAAACAGCACTGCATTGCGGGCCGTCCCTCCCTAGGCAGCTAGAACACAGCACATGGGGAACACAGGAAGCTCAGGGCCATGAGTGAGCTGAGACCGCACAGTGAACCAGAGAGGAAATACCAGGATTGCACTGGACATGATGCAGGCAGAGCCAGTGGCAGGAGGGGCTGACGTAGACTAGGAGGATGCTTATTAAAGGATCAAGGCAGGGACCCCACCAGCCAGCCCCTGAGAACAATGGGACTCTCAAGAGTGTCCTAAGCAGGGGTTTGATGTGATTAGATGGTCACTGTCTTCAAAGGGTTGTATTGGCCGTGGCAGAGTGAGGGTAAAAGCAGTGGGCCAGTAAGGAGGCTGCCACAGCTGAGGGGTGGCGGCATCTGGGCAGGTAGTATCAAGGGGATGTGTGGGTTATGGGTAGAGTTGGAGTCTGGATGTGGGAGAGACAGGGGCGAGGAATCTGACAGATGCTCCAAAGTTTTGTGTTTGGCTGCTGGACTGGATGGTGGGGACAGGAACAGGCAGGATGAGCAATGAGTGCAGAGTCTACCTAGGAAGATCAGTGGGGGCTAAAAGGATCCCAAGGCGCAGTCCCAGGGGCATGGCGCTGAGCAGGCTGGAGCTCACAGGGCCTATCACACAGGAGGTGGACATCTACACCGTGAAGGTGGAAGACCTGACCTTCACCTCCCCCTTCTGCCTGCAAGTGAAGCGGAACGACTATGTGCACGCCCTGGTGGCCTACTTCAACATCGAGTTCACCCGCTGCCACAAGAGGACCGGCTTCTCCACTAGTGAGAGCCCATGGTGGCGGGGGCAGGCGGGTGGTCCCCAGCCAGCCTTGAGGTTCATGTTGATAGAAGTGTGCAGAGGGAACCCTTAGCCCCCATTCCAATGCTGGCTCTGCCACCCAGTGGCCATGTGGCTTAGGAGTGACCTGGGTGTTGTGTCCCCCTTTCCTTATCCACAAAATACAGACAACAGTCCCTGTATCCAAGGTTTGGTGGGGATAAAGTGGTTCCTGGCCAGTGCTGACCAGTCAGCATGCAGTTTTCTGTCACGGGGTGGTGTTCAAGCAGAGGCCGAGGCTCCAGGATGAGAACAGGCAGCAGGCCAAGGCTGGCCACATGTGGCTGACCCACCTCCGCCCCCAGGCCCTGAGTCCCCGTATACGCACTGGAAGCAGACGGTGTTCTACATGGAGGACTACCTTACGGTGAAGACGGGCGAGGAGATCTTCGGCACCATTGGCATGAGGCCCAATGCCAAGAACAATGTGAGGCTTGCGGGAGCTGCTGGGGGTGGGTCCCTATGCCCCTGAGTCCATCTCTATAAAGCCAGGTCCTGGTGACCGAGCCTTGATCAGGTTGAGGCCCCGTTCTTGAAAAGGGAGAGATTGATATTGTACACCCCAGATGGAGGTGGCCTCTGTCAAGCTGGGTGTGGGGTCAAGGTGGCCTGAGGTAGAGCTGCCAGGGCTTGCTGTCCAGTGGTCACCATTGGAGTGTGGGGTACAAGAGAGAAGATTTGGGGTTTTTCTTTCTCCCTTTTTCCTTCTGAGCGTATGGCAAGATGGAGCCATCAGCTGAGACTTGGGGCTGGAGACAGGTGTAGGGCACCATTGGGAGGCCCAGCATGGCCATTCTGAAGCTGGAAGATGCCAAGTGGGTGGGAGGATGAAGGTTCTAGAATTTGGAGATGAAAGAGTGGTCAGGGCTGGATGTGTCCATCCAGGGCTATAGTGCATGAGGCTGGGAGCTCCTATGGTAGTGACAGTGATCTGGGAGCAGTCCAAGGTCACACCACTTTGTAAGTCAATAATGTAAAACAGCCATGCTCCCTGGGGAGGTTAGGTGCTGCCCTTCATCCCCCAGAAGATGCACGTCACAGTGTGAAGACAATTTTGGTTATCACTAGAGAAGTGCTACTGTCATCTCATGGGTAGAGACCAGGGATGTAGCTGAGACTCCCACAGTATTTGGGACAGTCCTCACAACAAATCTGGCCCTAAATTGCAGTGGTGCCCAGATGGAGAACAAGATTAAAGTGATGGATACACAAAGAGTCATTTGGACCATTGGTGACTTTGTCCCAGCCCTGCCAGACTTGCCAGCTGGGGGCGGGTGGGACCTTCCAGGAAGCTTGGGGGAAGGGAAAGTGGTGGCAGTGGTTGGAACCATCAGGTTTTCTGGAGGGCCTGGTGCAATGGCGGATGCCTGTAATCCCAGCCTCTCTGGAGGCTGAGGCAGGAGGATCATGAGTTCAAAGCCAGCCTCAGCAATTTATCGAGGCCCTAAGCAGTGAGACCCTGTCTTTAAATAAAATATACAGAAGAGCTGGGGATGTGGCTCAATGGTTAAGTGCCTCTGGGTTCAATACCGGGTTCCAAAGRAAAAAATGTTTAGCTGGAGGATGGGGGCTTAAATTCTCCTTATTAAAAAAAAAAGGAAAAAAATAACTTGCTGATGGGATTGGATGGGTGGGGGAAAGTGTGATTCAGGTGACCTGCAGTTTCTAAGCTCTGGCAGATTTGGAGATGTCATGTGGAGCTGTCACTTGAGTTGGGACACATGTTGGAGCTGGGACTCACTTGGAGTCACCTGCAGGGAAGTGGGCTAAAAGGATCCCATAGGGAGGGTACACAAGACAGCCTGCTCTGAGGACTGGGGACAGGAATGTGCCAGGTCTGCATCCTGCACCTCATAGTTGGGCTCTACCTGCCCTGCCCCTCACAGCCTCCCTCTCCCCACAGCGTGACCTGGACTTCACCATTGACCTGGACTTCAAAGGACAGCTGTGTGAGCTGTCCTGCTCCACCGACTACCGGATGCGCTGAGGCGACACTCGGCTTTCTCCTGCCCTCGCCGGGCCGGCCCTGCACAGGCCCAGGGGCTGCGGCGTTCTTAGGCGGTTTTGGGGTCCCCCTTCTCTCCCTCCCTCCTGCAGAAGGGGGTTTTAGGGGCCTGGGCTGGGGGGATGGGGAGGGCACATCGTGACTGTGTTTTTTCATAACTTATGTTTTTATATGGTTGCATTTACGCCAATAAATCCTCAGCTGGGACCTGGTGTGGTGTCCTGGGCAGAGTGGGTTGGGGTTCTCTTCACAGGTGCTGAGGTGGAAGCCTGAGCAGCTGAGAGGACGGAGACTTGATGCCTGGGACTCTGCCCCCATCCTCTTGTCTCTAGGCTAGAAGCTTCTGTCTCTTGGGCTCTCTGCCCTCCAGAGTTCTCCTAGGGTCTGTGTCCCAACTCTTCTCTGTTGTCTCTTGGGGCTGGCACTGGGCAGGGCTTCTGTTCTAGTTTTGCTGGGCTGAGGGTGGGGTTGGATTCCCAGCACAGCTGGGCCCTTAGGCTTCCCAGAACGCTGCCCCACCCTCTCAGCACCACATTGTCACTCCGGGCTGGGCTGTTTTTTCCTGTCCAGGACCCTCCAAGGCCAGGCCAGGCAGGGTTGACTGGAAACAAGTGGGCCCAGCCTTCTCCACCTGGGTAAACTGAGTCAAGAGGGCGGGGGGTGGGGTGTTCCTTGGCAGGGGATGTGCCCCTTCTTCCTTCACCAACTCTGCTTGGAGCTTGGGTTTGGGGAGTTGCTCTCCACGACGTCGCCAGCAGGACTTACCCAGTTAACAGAGATGGAACTTCCTTCTCATAGCTCCCCATTTTGCCTCACTGTGGTCGTGGACTCTACACCAGCCCTTCCACTGCATGTCATTCAGAATCGCTTTCCCCACCCCTGCTGTCCACCCCACCTGGATAGCCAGGGCATTTTAACAATTTCTACCGCCCTGGCTACACGTGCTTAGGTGCAGCAGGTGCCCCAGACCTGCAGCCCCTGTTACACCTAAGTCCTTTTCCCGGGTTATGCCAGGGCCAGACGCCTCTTCCACTTGTCCCAGGTTGCTGGTCTTCTGCTCTGCAATTCCGCCCAGATTCTAGGATCCTTCCGCTGCGTGCATTAGGCAGCTCCTTGAAGGTGATGAGAGTGAAGTCGATTCCCACCCGCCTCCGTTTTCCGGGAATTGCGTGCCGCTGTCACTATTTGCAGGTGTCAGCTGCTTTTCCTGGCGTTTTAAGAGGGTCTAAGGGGCGTAGCATGGCTCTGCACACTCAGGGGTCCGGGTGGAGTCCTGCCCCTCTAGCGCCGGGTGCCACTTGGCTTTAGTCTTCTCTGGGAAGTGGGGACCCGCCCTGATTTCACACTCATCAGTGGGCGCTCGGGAAGGGGCCTCCAGGCCGCTTAATCCACAGTTTACCAGACTTTGACCTGCTCCCCACCGCGATGACCGCCCACATCCTCATGCTGTTGCTCCTCACCTCTGCTCTAGGGGACTCGGCCTCCGCAGGCAGGTGAGAAAGGCCAGTAGCATCCCGGACCGGGAGGGAAGGAGACCACGAGGGGTGTGCACCCTCTTCCAGTCGGCTTTCCTCTTCCGCCGGCTGGGTAGGCGACCTGTAAGCGCGCCCCGCTTACTCTCGGAGTTGTGGGTGCCCCTCTGCACACCATTTCTGAGGTGGGTTCTGCTTGAGCCCGCTCTTCTACGTCCCTCCCCAGGCGGCTCTGGCACCTGGTACCCCAGCACCGCGGCCGCCTCTGCTCCCTGGGCACATGTCAGACGCACCGCCTGCCGGAGATTATATACTGGCTGCGCTCTGCCTCCACCAAGGAGTCCTCGGGGAAGGCTGGCCGCAAGCCCCAGGACCCCCATAGCTATGGGCGCCGCCGGCGCGAGGCAGGAGCCCTGCTTCATCCCCAGGACCCAGGCCGTCAGCAAGCGGGCCAGGACAGTGCCCAGCTTATGGGGTGACCTCAGCACTTCTCTGCTCCTGCCCTGGCTTCAGTGTGTCCGCCTGTGTAGGAAGGCTACTATCCCCAAGTTTCTTCTCCCCTTGGGGTCGTCTTCCCCAGCCTCTCTCCAGACTGCGACTGGGCTGTACCCAGAACCAGCCTGGACAGAACACTAACGTCCAGAGCTTAATAAACCAAAGAGTTTCATGTTTGTYTTTGCTTGTCTGTGCCCATTTTATCCTCTCAGTCTGGGCCGGGTTTCTAATACTCTATGTTCCTTTTCCCTAACGGAAGTCCCTCGTACTGTGTAACTTGAATCCAATCCGCTGTAGTGCCTTCTTTGTGCCAAATCAACCCATACATCTCTTCGTGGTTGTGTGGGTAGTTTGGGGGGACCCACCGGATCCCAAGCATCTCCTCCCTCTTATCACGCTGTACCCAGAGGTGGGTTGAAAGTTCTAAGCCAAGCCTCGTCTTCGAAGAGAAAGCAAAGTAAAACTCCTAGTCCATAGGACCAAGTTTAAGAACCCCAGGCTCSGAGCAAAAAAGCCGAATAAAGAAGGCCAAACTGTGGCGAATCGGGCTGGGCAGAAGGAAATTCAGGCCTGGGTACCCAACGGAGGAAGGGGATTGGACCTTATTTTTTGAAGGGGGCGGAGATAGAACGCGGAGGGAGTGGAACGGGGCGGGGATCGGAGGCCGAGCGCCGAAGTGGGCGGGATGAAATCTGGGACCTGAATACCCGGCTGGGCACACGCGAGGCCGAAATCGTGGTTTCTGGGTGTCGGGTGGTCCTGGGGTTGGGCAGGATTCCGGAGAACGACGGTCACCAAGTCGTGTACTTGTCGCACGCGGACTGAACCTATGCCAGCGGAAGACTTGAGCTCTGAGCACAAAATCGGTGGGGCAGGGGATGTTCTCGATCTTGGTCCCCAGGATCTGATTGAAGACCCCTGACTTAGCGTAAGTATGGAACCGAAGGGGCCGAGCTCCTCTGGGGGCTGGAGGCCGGCGTCCTGGCTTGGGCGTGCGGGCTTCTCCATCCCTTGCCCTCAATGCTCTCCTCCGCTCGCGGCCTCAGCATCCCTGGTTGCGAGGCATGCGCAGTAAGGTTCTTCCCTCCTCGTTCCCCTCCAGTCCCTGGAGGGGGAAGGGACGCTGGGTCTCCCCGCAGCTGATGAATTTATAGACCCTGCCCACCCCTTTGGAGTGGGGAGCGGAAATGGGGTGGACCGTGTCAACGTCCGGCAGGTGTTCGTTTCATATGAACCTAAAACTGTTTTTCCTCGAGACCCAACTACCCTGGACCAGTTTCCCTCTCCCACCCGCGGTCTCGGAGTCTTACTGGGGGCGGGGGACACTGCCCTAGCTCCGCATTCTCTGCAGAGCAACTAAAGGTGTTCGTGTGAGCGATCCTTCCCTCTTCTCTATGCGTTCACAGAGGTTCTCAATTGACGTCCCTCCCCCAACATCTTTAGGTCTCCAGCCAGGACCCTCAAGCCTCTCAGGTGCTTAGGAAAAGGTGAGCAGTCCTATTTCCCAGGGTTAGCTGAAAGAAGGGGCTGGGGGCCTGTAGGCCTGGGGAAGAAGACATTTGGGTTTGGACCCTGGGTCTTAGGGAGGAGGCTTAAAGCCTGGACCCCTGGGTCTAGGGAGGAGGGATTGAGGATCCAGAGAATGACTTTTTGCCCTCCCCCAGGTCCCGTGTGACATGGCTGAGGCCCACCAGGCTGTGAATTTCATGCCCTCGCTGACTTCGGACGGGGGTGAAGTGGAGCTCAGTGGCCCTGTGTGGCAGGAGATCTACCTCTCTGGCCTGCGCTCTTGGAAGAGGCATCTCTTGAGATTCTGGGTGAGGAAGGCTGCTGGCTGGTTTCCTTCTGGGCATCCAATTTCTTGTCTCCCAGATGCCCAAGGCCCCCTTCTGGGAACCTGGATGTCCACTTCAAGCACCCCTTCAGCCATTTCTCCGTAGCTGGTCTCCCTCTGGCATGCCCAGCCTTACCTACTGAGGACCCCTATTCACCTGTCCTTACTTCCTGGATCCCATCACCACCCCACCCTTCCCCACAGAATCCCCTGGCATCTCCACAACTTCTCTCTTCCTCATTGTTTTTATTTTTGTAGCTGGAGGTGGAACCCAAGCCTTACACATGCTAGGCAAGTGTTAGGCTCCACTGCTGAGCCATACCCTAGTCCAGTCCCCCTCTCTTATGGCACACTTGTCACCTTTCCCTGTCCTCTCCAGCCTCCAGACAAGGTGCTCCTCATTCCAGAGCCCTTTTAAGATCTTGGCTGGCACACACCTCAATCCTGAAGGCCCATTCTTTCCCCCAGCCCTTGCCTAGTGGGCCTGAGTGCCACTTCCTCTGATCCTAAAGCCCCACTAGCCCTCTGGCATGAACCTCTAAAGGCCTGGGCCCTGCACTCCTTCACTCCCCGCTCTGCTATCTACCCCAGTGCTGGAAATAATTCTGACTCCCTGCCTCTACTGGTGCCCAGTGTCTGCCAGACCTGTATGGCCAGTTCTAGAAGTCTAGTACCATTGGTGTTCAGAGTCCCTCTGCTCCCAGGCTGAGAAGCTGGGTAGGGGGTGCTGATGTTCATTCAGGGGGCATCCCAGAAGGATCTCCAGAAGCTGGAATGTTTGGACAGGACAGGCTGGATTGCATCTCTGTGGCTGTACTGGTTGTTAAATGGAGAGGTATCTGTTCTAGCTAAATCCCCAGAGAGTCCCCTTAGCCCTTCCCTGAGAGTCCCCTTAGCCCTTCCCTGACCCCTGCGCCCCTGGCCAACCTAGCAACGATGGCCATGTGTTCCCTAGAGTTAGATACACACACACACACACACACACACACACACACACACACGTACATATACAGATAGACAAGTCACCCCTCTGTGTCCTTGTATTCTGCATCCACAGATGCGAAATTATTAGAAAAAAAAATTGCACCTCTACTGAACATGTATAGGCTTTTTTTTTGCCATTATTCTATGAAGAATAGGCTACACTGACTATTTACATAGCATTTCCATTGCATTAGGAATTACAAGTCATCTAGAGATACTGTGAAGTATACAGGCAGATGTATGAAGGTTACATGCAAGTACCAGGCATTTTATATAAAGGATTTTGGCATCATTGGGGGTCCAAAAAATATCAAAAGAAAACAGCATATAATAATGTACAGAAAGATGCACATATTTTAAAGTGGGCTTTCTTTACATTTTGGTAACACCCATGCAACTCCGCCAATCAGGATGGAATTGCCACCATTCTAGAATGGTCTTCTGCAGTCACATCCCCACCTGCCTGCAAGGCAACTACTATTCAGATTTCTGTCTTATAGATTGACTTTTGCCTGGTGCCAATGTCTTCCCAGAACCTCGGTCACTGGTTCTAGCAGTCTAGTACCATCTGTGTTCAGAGTCCCTCTGCTCCCAGGCTGAGCGGTGGGGTAGGGGGTGCTGAAGTTCATTCAGGGGGCAGCCCAGAAGGATCTCCAGAAGCTGGGAAGTTTGGTGCAGTGCTGGTGTCACACTGTAAACTATTTAGACTGCTGCTCTGCATTCGACCTGAGTCCCTTTTCAGCATCAGTGTCCTCTCTGCCCAGTTCCCCACAACACCCTTACATTGGTTGCCATCCCTTAGCTACCTCTGTCCCCTGATGGTTACTTGGAACTCTCATGTCCTTCATCTTCCACTGTAGGACCCCACAAGACACTGCAGAGCTGCAGCTCCTGTTGGTCCCAATGAATGGCCCGTGTCTCAGCTCACCAGAGCAACAGTTCTACAAACTTACCACTGAGCCTCACTTTCTTCATTCATGAAATGGGACTGTGACAGTCCCTGACCCCAGGGATTGTTGTAAACACTGTGTTTGGCACAGGGCTTGGCTTACTGAAGCGACCATTTCAGTTTCAATCTGTGTATGTGTGTGTATGTGTGAGTGTGAGTGACATGGGGATTAAACCCAGTGGTACTCTACCAATGGGCCACATTCCCACCCCTTTATATTTTGGGACAGGTTCTCAGTAAGTTGCCAAGTCCCTGGAAGCACAGGGATCTTGTCCCTGTGCCTGGCTCTCTAGATTACTTTAAATACCTAATATAATGTGATGCTGTGAAAATAGTTGTTACACCATATTGTTTTGGGAGTAAGGAAAAGAAAAAGGAGTCTGTATATATTCAATAAAGATGTGATTTTTTTTCTAATATTTTTGATCTGTGGTTTGGTGGAACCCACAAATGTGGAACCCACAGATTCAGAGGACTGGATACATAACTTCACAGGGTTGTTCAGAGGAATTAAAGAGTTAATAATGGGGGGTTGGAGTTGTGGCTCAGCGGTAGAGCCCTCATCTAGCACGTGCAAGGCCCTGGGTTCGATCCTCAGCACCACATAAAAATAAAATAAAGGTATTGTGTCCAACTAAACTAAAATATTTTTTTTTAAAAAAGAGTTAACAATGGGGCCGGGGATGTGGCTCAGTGGTGGAGTGCTGGTCTAGCATGCACAAGGCCCTGAGTTCCATTCCCAGCACTGCAAAATAAATAAATAAATAAGTGAATAATAGTTAATCCTTGTAATCGACCCATAGAAGGTAGTAAGTACTCACTAAAGGTTAGTGGTCCTGGGGCTGGGGCAGTAGCTCAGTGGCAGAGCACTTGCCTTGCATGTGTGAGGCATTGGGTTCGATCCTCAGCACCACATAAAATAAATAAGATAAAGGCATGCTGTCCGTCTACAACTACAAAAAAAAAAAAAAAAAAAAAAGGTTAGTGATCCCACCAGGTGTGGAGGTGCATGCCTGTAATCCCCGCGGCTTGGGAGGCCATGGCAGGATCGCAAGTTCAAAGCCAGCTTCAACAGCGGCAAGGCACTAAGCAACTCAGGGAGACCCTGTCTCTAAATAAAATACAAAAAAACGATGTGGCTTTGTGGTTAAGCAACCTTGGTTTCAATCCCCAGTACAAAAAAAAAAAAAATAGGGAATGTGGCTCAGTGGTCAAGTGCCCTGGAGTTCAATCCATGGTACCAGCCCCACCCCCCCCCCCAAAAAAAAGAAGAAGTTTGTGCTCCTTCCCTGCTTTCCTGGGAGTCTAGTTAGTCAGCAGGGTTGCCACTCATTCCTCATTTGCCCCATGACCAGATAGTTCTAGAAATTCTAGAAGGCGGCATCCTAAGCTCCAGACCTGCCTCTGTACAGGGATCTGTTTACTCTTTTGATGGTTTACCTTTGAGGTCCTGCCTTAGGGAGTCCTTCTCCAGAGACCTCCCTGACGCCCACAGTCCCAGTAACCTGCCACCATGGGGCTCCTTTTTCTTGTCCTACTGCCACAAGCACTCACTTGGTCCAGATTTACCTCCCCAACCCAGGACCCAGGTCTCGTTCCCTGGCTGGATCCTAAGCACCCAGCCCAGGGCCTGACAAATACCTGAGAATGAGGCAAAGCAGGTGCTCAGAAGAGTGGACAGGTAATGGAACGGAAGCCCTTTCCTCCCCACAGAATGACTTTCTCACGGGTGTGTTCCCTGCCACCCCCCTCAGCTGGCTCTTCCTCTTCAGTGCCATCCAGCTTGCCTGGTTCCTGCAGCTTGATCCTTCTCTAGGATTGATGGAGAAGATTAAAGAACTGCTGCCAGACTGGTGAGGTTCCCCCTGCATCCCAGTAACCTCCTCAGTCCTTCTCCTTCTACCATAAGTTTTCTGTCATTATGGTGTGCCTGCCAGAGAAAAGTGACCTGAAACTTTGGGTCAGATTCCTAAAGGTACAGCATCAGGTAAAAAAGGTGACTTCTTCTCTTCTCTGCATATTTTTTTTCTGGCTCTTTTTGTTAAAAGGGATGGTGACAAACTAGAAAATGTCCAGACATGGTTATATATACTGATAGAATTATGAGCTCGGTCAGTCTCTGGTTATGTAGTCTTAGTCAAGAGAACTCATGCCCACCTGTAATCCCAGTGACTTGGAGGCTGAAGCAGGAGGGTTGGAAGTTTGAGACCAACCTCAGCAATTTAGTGAGTCCCTAAGCAACTTAGTGAGACCCTGTCTCAAAATTTAAAAATATTTTTTTTACTTTGATATAAAATAAAAATGTGAAAATAAAAAAGATGTTTTGCCACTGATATGGCTCAGTGGCAAAACATCCATGGGTATAATCCCCAGTATCAAAAAAAAAAAAAAAAAGGGGAGAGAGAGAGAGAGAGAGAGAGAGAGAAACTTCGCTATTCTCTGTTTTCAAGGTCAAGATCGTCATCTATAAAATAGAGATTATAATTAATTCTTTTTTTCTTTAAATTTAATCACCTGAAGTTCTTTTTTAAAATATATTTTTTTGGACTGGGATTGTGGCTTAGTGGTAGAGCACTCACCTCGCACGGGCGGGACTCGGGTTCAATCCTCAGCACCACATAAAAAAAATAAATAAAGGCGTTGTGTTGTGTCCATCTACACCTAAAAAATTAAAAAAAATAAGATAAAATATATTTGGGTGGGGGCTGGGGATATAGCTCAGTTGGTAGAGTGCTTGCCTTGCATGCACAAGGCCCTGGGTTCAATCCCCAGCACCACAAAAAAAGAATAAATAAATAAATAAATCCATGACTATCTTTAAAAAATAAAATATATTTTTAAGTTGTAGATGGACACAACATCTTTATTTATTTTATTTTTATATGGTGCTGAGGATCAAACCCAGTGCCTCACATGTGCTAGGCAAGCGCTCTACCACTGAGCTACAACCCCAGACCGATCACAATTAATTCTTAAGATTCTTGAAAGAATTAATCAAAATCATGTATATGGTATATACGCTAGCACCAGGAGGCTACTAAATCAAGTTATCTTTGCACTATTATCCTTGTCATCAAATTTAGGAAGGGTTTGAAAAACAGAGACAGGTGAAGTGGTACTAGGTTCTGATCCTGATACTTGGATTAGTCTTCATATGAGGAAAAAGGTTCAGGCTTTGTGCAAGTGGCCTAAGGGGGCAGATCAAGGATCAGATGTAAAAAGTTGTTTTTATTTGTCTTTTCTTTCTTTCTTCTTTCAATTGAAAGTCAGGAGTGCTTTACCACTGAGCTACATCCAGCCCTTTTTTATTCTTTTATTTTGAGACAGTCTCACTAATTGCCCAGGCTGGTCTCAAACTTGCTATTCTTCTGTCTCAGCCTCCCAAGGAGCTGAGATTACAGTGTGTGCCATAGCACCCAGCTAGATGTAGACATTTCTAGGAAGGTTAGATTTCTGCAGTCTTCAGAGAGGAAGTGATTTGATCCTAGTCCTCTGGGCGAGATTTTTCTCACCTGTGTATTCCAACTTGGCAAATGTTGACAGTGTTTCCTGAACTTGAGCTGTATTGGAATGTGCAAGAATGTGCATTTCCAACCAGGTCTGGGAGTTCACAGGTCCTGCCACCTTAGGCTATAATTTCCTGTGAGGGAGAAGTCTCCCCTCAACAGAACTAATTGGTCTGGCTTATTAAGCATCTACCATTTTCTGTGAAAAGTGATTTTAGAAGCTTGATGACACCAGTCACTGKCACATGCCTGTAATTCCAGAGACTCAAGAGGCTGAGGCAGGAGGGTCCAAAGTTTGCAGCCAGCCTCAGCAACTTAGCAAGAACCTGTCTCAAAATAAAAAGCTCTGGAATGTAGCTCAATGGTAAAGCGCCCCTAGATTCAAAGCCCAGTAACAAAAAGAAGAGGGAGAAAGAGAGGGAAAGGGCAACTTAGTGAGAAGGGGGAYGGGGAGCGGCAGGGGAGGAGGAGGAGGAGGAGGAAGCCATTTGCTTCCACCACAAAGTGGGGCAGGGGACACAGGAGGCTCCCACCCACATCAGATGAGAAAAAAAGGACTTCTCTGTCTGACTTCAATTGTATTAAGACAYCCCTCCGCAGCCAGAAGYCCAGAGCAGGGCAGGAGGYGCTGAGGGGAGGCAGGTCCGAARCCAAGAGACCCAAGCCAGCTTTGCTCTCTCCCTCCAGGGGTGGACAGCACCATAGGCTGCAGGGTGTTCTGGCAGCTGCGCTGTTTGCCTCGTGTCTGTGGGGAGCCCTGATCTTCACACTTCACGTGGCCCTGAGGCTGCTTCTGTCCTACCACGGCTGGCTTCTTGAACCCCAMGAAGCCATGTCCTCAACCACCAAGACCTGGTTGGTATGTGAGGGGACCCATATACCATGCACTCTCAGGACACAGTTCTCTGGTCGCTCTCTGCGGACCTCTGTCCCCCCCCACACACACTTAGTGTCTCTTTCTTCCTTTCCTCTTCTCTCTCTCTGTCACATTTACCTTTCTACGTCTGTGTACCATTCAYTCTGATTTGCCCACCACCCCCTCCGGCCTCATTGCGATCTAAAGACCTTGTAACCTCCGTCCATCCCCCCGCCTCCTTCCCCCAGGCCCTGGTCCGCATATTCTCTGGCCGCCACCCGGTGCTCTTCAGTTATCAGCGCTCGCTGCCGCGCCAGCCGGTGCCCTCGGTGCAGGACACCGTGCGCAAGGTGCTTCTGGAACCGGGGATGGGGTGGGGGGTAGGAGGGGGCCGGGGGCCTGACTCGGTCTTCTCCGCCCTCCCTCATCAGTATCTGGAGTCTGTCCGACCCGTCCTCTCCGACGAGGACTTCGACTGGACGACGGGGCTGGCCCAGGAGTTCCTGAAGCTGCAGGCGTCGCTGCTGCAGTGGTACCTGTGGCTCAAGTCCTGGTGGGCATCCAATTACGTGAGTCCCGCCCGAGGCCCCCCTTGGAAGGCAAAGGTTCCCGCCGGCCCCTTCTCCCCGCTGGCCCGCCCC